TGCCCGCTGAGCTGTGGGCACATGGGCACTGCCCTTTCCCGTCCTGCAGTGGGCACCGCCTCTGCTTCCTACAGTGAGTGACCCTCCTAGCGTGACATGGTACCAGGAGGCTGACTAGGCTCAGTTTCCAGATCACACCCACGCACTGCTCTGTGCACGTGCCTCTGGGGCCAGTGGGGGCTGCCACCAGGCCTGGCTGCCGTGAGCAAAGCTGTGACACTCGCAGCAGCGCAGGCACCCGCGACACCCAGGCCTCATGTCCTATGGATGCAAAGCTGGTGGGGAGTYGCTGGGTCACACAGAACTTCTGCTTCTGATGATTTGCAGACCCTCCTGATGGTCAGTTGACAATACTATGCTGCACATTTGCTAGAGGGTGGCTCCCATGGGTTCTCACAGGAGAGAGGGAGGAGGGGAGGAAAAAGAAAGAGAGGGAGAGAAACATGTCACCATGCCAGGTGGCAGGTATGTGGAGCACCTGACTGTGATCGTCTTAGCCTGCATACGGACCTCCCTGGGGCACCTACATATTCAGCGCCACAGCTTAGCTGTGTCAGGAGGAAGTATAGCCCAGGAAGGAGGACCATAGGCCYGTGTGCCCACACACTCAGGACGGCMGTGAAGCTTTGCCTGCTCTCCAGGGCCATGGCCCCGGGGGACTCCTCCTTCTTTCTGGTTATTGATAATCAACATTTTCCACAGTAGTTATGTCTTTTATAATAAAAGGAATAATCTTCCCAGTGCAGCTCTTRTCACTTGGGTCCTTGGGAGTGGACGGAAGGTAATGCCACTAGAGGAACCAAACCCAGGGAAGGTTCCAGAACCCACGGGAGCGACCTAGAAATTGAGAGTTGGAAATGACCATAAATAAATTGGTATCCTTCGAGTCTAACAATCGCTGGATTTTTTTTTTCTCTTTTATGGTTCTGGGGATATAAAAAAAGGTAAGCGCTTGACTAGTATTTTCCTTAAGAAACCACTCTTCAAAAATTAATAAATGCACACTTAAATAAAGAGACAGGCTCCTGGGACACTCCTAAAATTTGACTCCCCGTCCAAAACCAAGCTGGAATGATGGAGACATTTCACCCAGGAAGCAGAAGGCCTGGGGAGGGGGGTCTTCCTAGACCAGGTGGGAGATCCGAGATTCTCCATGTGATCAGGTGATGCCCAGCTGGCTGCTTGCAGAGCTGCCTAGGATGAATGCTCAGCYTCCCGGGACTCCAAAGAGATGCCAGGGCAACAGAGGACTGGGTCCTCCAGCCTGGACCTGCCAAGTCTGCAGGACAGACATGGGGGTGGCGGTGGGGGAACCCTCTGCTTCCGCTCCAACCCATTGTCATGCAGGGAGCTGAGCGTCTGCAGGGTTGCTGTTGGCAGCCCCACTTCCCACCCAGCTTCTGGAGGCAGAGGGAAGTCGTCCCAAAACCCAGCATGACGGGTTCACGGAGAGACAAGTTTGAATAGAAACTATGAACCGGTCCCCGGTGTCCTTCCAGGACATCATCACAACCACCCAAATTCCCTGCTATGGAGGGACACTCCCGGGGCAGTCAGGAGAGGCCAGGGGATGTATTAGTGTCCCTCCAGGCTGAAGAGCACTGGAGTGCCCTCCAGGGTGCCCCATCCAACAGAGCCCAGGCTCCCCCAGGCCTCCACTTAAAATCCYGTTGCCCACAGCTTTCCTCAGAGGCTGGACATGTGTCCTGGGTGGCAGGTGGGAGCCCAGCAGGCAGGTGAGTGCTCAGCCTGCTCCTCCAGGCATGCCCGGGGACCTGGCAGACATGCAGGAGCCCAGGCCTGGCCCCACCCAGGAATCAGCATCTGCCTTTGCACCAGGGCCTCCAGGGGACTTGTGGGCACACTGTGTGCTGAGGAACACAGGACTGAGCTCCAGGTAGAGGGGACCTCCTGCAGCCACCTCCAAGCCTGGGGACAGCATCCCATGCCACACAGCAACCTGCAGCCTGGCACGAGCATGGGAAGGACAGGGCCTCCTGGCAGGCCAGGCAAGAGGGAGGACTCTGCAGACCCCTGCCTCCCCCCCACACACAAGGAAATCCTGGCCAGTGTCCATCTCTAGCCCTCACCAGACAGCRAGGGACAGACTCCACTTTATGCAGCTACGGGAACCAAGAGTAGAGCGGTGACAGGCGTTGGCAGTGCAGCTGATGAGCACAGCCTGTTAACCTGAGGGAGCAGAGGTGTCTCCAGCAGCCCCAGTTACAGGAGCAGCCTGCCCCATGCAGGGGGCAGCCATTAGCTCATCCCCAGACAGACGCCATCAGGCCATTGCTCTCCCTGATTAGATCTGAGTACGTGTGTCCCAGGGGAGTGACAGGGCAATCACACAATTGTCCATGGAGACATGAGAGCAGCAGATGGTAGCCCTTCAGACCCCCCCTCAGCTCCAAGCTGCAGGTCTCCAGCACAAAAGGTGGGGTCCTTCCCACCACAGGTTGTGCCCACCCAAGACCCCGGGAGCCCTGCTGTGGCACAGGAGAGCTGTCAGGCCACCGCTGACCTCTGCGGATAGCACCAGAGTGGAGAGCCAGGGCCCTGCCTGGGCACAGGGCTGTCCACAGCCTGGCCCTGGAGCCACCCTGGGGCCACGCTTCTCCCTTCCCTCACATATCTCACCTCTCGGTTAACTGTGACTAGAGGCTCTGTTTCCTTGTCTCTGTCAACCTCACCCATCTAGAAAGTGAGCTTTACCACAGGAACACACAGGTGGGACCAAGTGGCATATGAGTAGGGCCCATACGGTCACAGATTCAGGCATCCCTTGGAGGCTTTGGAAGCATGGCCTGGAGACCAGGTGACCACTGAGTACTGTGGACAAGTGCAAGGAAGGACAGGGACAGAAGGGCCGAGAGGGAGGAGCTGGGGTTGTTCCCAGGACCTAGGTGCCCACGCCGTGCTCTTCATGGAGATGGATCTGGGCAGAGTGGGAGTTGCAAACTCAACACGATCACTAAAATCAAAACCAGAGTCTGAATCCATCAGTACTTGAAGACCCAGTTGTGCCCGTCTCCACTGCCAAGGGCCCGGGCTGGGGCCGGAGGCTCATGAGCAGAGGGCAGGGTGGTAAAGACCAGGAGCCAGAATCCCAGCTCTGAAGACCCAGGATCGATAGACGCAATGCCACTAAGACATAGGTGCCGTGACAAGGGGGCCCTTCATCTCACTTCTACCTCTCGGGGCTTCTGACYGTCAACCTGAGGACAAGACTGACACCCCTGCTGGGCGAGCCACTCGGCCGTCCCCGTGCTCATCCAGAGCAGGAGGAAAATGATTCCACTTGTATATTTATCCTACACCAACTCAAGTCATATTGGTGATGGGAGGGACAGCAGCAGAGCAGATGGGGGGGGAGCCAAAGGGGAGGGTGATGAGACCCACCAGATCATGGCACATGCCTAAAAGCATGGTATCACGAGTGCCACTGTCATGCATAGTCATAATGCACCAAGAAATAAACAAAAACACAAGGAGTGTCAGGACCTGTCYTGGCCTAGAGGGATGTAAGACATGACCACGTGCCATAGGGCTGCCACAAAGCGACAACTTCCACATGCCACAGGGGCGCCACAAGGGGACAACTTCAAAGAGAAACAAGAAAACAGTGGTAACCAAAGTCCTGTCTGAATCGCCAAATGGAAAGAAAGCTGCCATCAGCCAGAGGTGGGAGACTACCCCAGGTGTCCCAGGCTACGGTGCAAATGAGGCACTTGGGGGGGGGGGCTCCGGTGGCACCAGAGACCACATAACACACAGTGACCCAGACCTCACAGGAGAGCGCAGAAGACAAGGCCACACGCTGCAGGTCCCTCGCAAAGACCCCGCGTCCCAATGAGAAGCAGAGCCTCAGGCGGCATCTGAATGTGACCTGAGGATACGTGTTTTAGAAGGGAAACTGGCACAGACTGACATGGAGGCTACACAGAGGGTGGGTAGGAAGGAGCCAAAGGTCCATCACCAGAGGCGGGGAGCAGCCAGAGACGGGCAGGCCTCCTCCCCTCCTCCACCCACACCAGCCTCCTGGGAGCATAGTCACGCCTGGGGAGCTCAGAGACCAAGGCCTCTGGGGGCTGCTCTGGGGCCCAGGATTKCAGGGCAGCAATGGGACACTGTGTGGAGGTGAATGGGAACCCGGCCCATTCTGGGGGGTCAGCCTGGGGTCCCCTTCACGCCTGTTCCACCCACGCATGCCTAGGGGCCATGAAGGAGGGGGCCAGGCTGGGGCCTGGGGGATGTAGGACARGAGGAGGGCGTGCCCTGGACAGGGCAAGAGCGGGAGTCCAGGCACACTGCCCTGGTCACTCAGGCCATCCTCCTCCAGCCTTGCAGGAGGCAGTRGATAGCAGCAGTGTTCAAGGGACTGGCTGCAGGTCAGGGTGTCACCCACCCCAGCATACCACCCGGGTGGTCCATGGGGCTCCCACCAGAGCTCACTGCACACTGACCTGAGGGGAAGGTGACCCAGGCAGCCTCAGCACAGAGTGAGAGAGCTCCCTGGGTAAATGGGAGCCCCCAATACCTTCAGAATCATCACCCACTCAGAGAACGCAGGGACATGGGACACCACCAACCTCTGCTGTAGTCAGAGGCTTGCAGATCAGGAACTGCTCACACACGTCACACTGGTTACCAAAAATACTGGTGATATTCTTTGCTGGTCAAATCTTTGAGAGTGTCTCCTTGACAGTGAGAACAGACCCTGGAGCCACTTGGTCAACAACAGGAAAGCAGCTTCAAGACTCACGGAAGGATTGATCTTTCTGATGCCAGAACTCACTTTTTATATTTTGACTTGGAAAAGAATTGATACACAAAAAAAGTAAGAAAAAAAAGCCACAAGCACAGAGACATTGAAAACATGGATATCTGTACATCTATATCTATCAAATATTATAGAAAGTTATAAAATATATTAAAGTACATATGTAGTATATAAATATGTCTCAAAATACATGTACATATAAATAAAGTATCTGCACATGTGCCTAAGTGTGTAACACTGATGCACAAAGGAACCCAGACCACCTGGTGCAAACGGTAAGGTGAGCTGTACGTGCACCCCATGGCGTGGAGTGTGGAAGGGTAGAAATGGCCGTGAGCACTGGGCCTAGGGGCAGTGATGGCACTATGGATGATATAGGGCAGTGGCCGTGGCCCTGCAGCACTTGGCCTGGGTGGGTGCAGCCTGGAGCCTCTGTTGCCGTGTCCCTCCCTCGTCCACTCCCAGCACTGGGATGGAGGCTGCGAGTGCACTGGGTACCCAGGAGATGCTGAGTGTGCGTGTGAGCCCCAGCCTCGCCCTTCACCCTGTGCTTCCTTAGTAGAGACCCCACTACTGACAGATCTCCAAGGCCACACTCCACTCAAGGACACTGCGGTTTTATTGCATGAAAATCACAACATATTTCAGTACTCAGAGGCCACCATTGTCTCTCCTGTGAGAACTGCTTTTAACACACATTTCTTGCTGATTTTTTAAGAGGACCACACCGAGTACAGATGGTAAGGTGGGCGGAGGCCAAGGCACCCAGCCCATAAGCAAAGCCCAGACTCTGTCTGGACACAAAGTCTCACAGGCCCTGGGGGCCGCCAAGAGCTGAGGAGCGAGGAGCAAGGACCCCTGTGGAAACCACAGCTCCTAGCACCAAATCTGATCCAGTGTCTGCCAAGGGACCTGGTGTCTAACTTGTGGGTGCTGGCGGCAGGCCAGGGGCTGGCCAGGGCTTACTACTGGTCTGGTTTCAGAAATCACAAGAGACCTGAGCGGTGGCCCCACACACTGGGTCTCACAGTGACCTCAGCCTGTGTCACCTGGGTTCACACCATGGCCCGGCCAGAGGGTGTGGTCACAGTGGGCTCAGCTGGCTGGTGCACTGGGGACTAGCCTGGACATAACAGAGGCTGGTTCTATGGACACACGGCTTTGCCTGACAGGGATGGGTGCCCTCCCCATGAGCAGGCCAGCTGTGGAGAGGCCAGCTATGGAGAGGCCCCAGCAGCTGGGTTGGAGCTCAGGAGAGCACTTGGGGCACTTCCCAGGGTGCGCAGGGCTCGGGGCCAGATCCCAGTACAACAAAGAAAGTAATTGGTTGTTAAAAAAAAAAGGCTCTAGATGATGGTGGAAAAGTCCACAGAAGCACATCAAGTCTAGTGCTGGGCAGGGTGGGCGCGRTGAGGGCCATGACATCGGGTCACAGTGTAAAGTGGAGGCTTCCAGTATCAAAACCAGGTGGACCTGGCTGTGCACTTCATGCCACGCTCAGGCCTGGGTTACAGTGCAGCTGCTTGCGGCCTGTGTCAGATGTCCATGCTGTCCCCTCTGCGATCCAGGGCCGAGCACCCAGGAGTGGTCACAGTGGTCCCCCCTCCCCAGGGACCGAGCTGAGTCCACCTACTAGTGCCAGGCAAAGGACTGCCAGGCCCTGCTGGGTCCTCCCTCGGGAGCAGGCAGCCTCTATGCAACGTGGCCACCTTGGCAGGACAGGGGTCACTGTGCCAGTGTCAGTCTGCTTCCTAGACACGAAGGAGAAATTGTGGATCCCTCCCTGGGGACAGAGACAAGAGGACACAGGAGATGCAGCAGGAGGCGGTTGGCTCTGTTGGGGCAGATGGGCAGGAAAGAAGGCTTCCGCCAGGAAAGAGCATCTTCAGGCTGACCTGGGTCCAGAGAGGTAGCACTCTCGGGCGTGGGCAATGTCTCTGACAGCCCAAATCCCAGGCGGCTGGGCTGTGCCTTTTCCAAGGGTGGAGGACCAGTGTGGGCACACCTGCCAGGGCGGYATGACTCCAGCCCAAGTCCCCAGCATGGGTGGAGACCCCAGAGCTGACCACTTGGCAAGGGCTGGCCTCAGTGCTGTGACCCTGAAGGAGACCATGCACCTCAGCTAGGGCTGGCTCTGGGAGCTGTGTGGGTAGAGTCAGCAGACCAGGGACACCCCACCCTGTTCCCCACGCTCCTCGGACATTCTGGTTGATCCTCCAGGGGTGCACAGAGACCTAAACTACCCCCRCAGGACTCCTCTGGACCCCTATCAAGGCAGAGGCAACCCCCTCCTGAGCGACAGCCTGTGCCCCACGTGCCACAGCTTTACTGGGTGCATGTGGTAAGGAGGGAGGCTCATGATGGGTGTCACAGTGGGCCACCATGCACTCCAGTGTCCTCAGGGAGCAGCCAGCCCTCGGGTGCATGGGGCAGGATCCAGTGTCCTCAGGGGCAGCCAGCCCTCGGGTGCGCCGGGCAGGAGGGCCCTGGGGTCTCTAGGCATGCAGCCCTGAGTGTCAGGCTGCAGGAGCTGGTGGGTGCTCTTCTGTAGGGTCACAGGTGGAGGCTGCTACCTCATGTGCAGGCAGCAGGGAGAGGGTCCCACGTGGGTAGGGTACTCGTTCTGCTCTGCTCTGGAAGGCAGTCATCACCAGCTCCTGCTCACACGGCGGACAGGTCCACGCGGGGGGCAGAGTGGCTGCTCTTATCCCAGGGGCTGAGCTTGGTGGAGCCTGTGCCGGGCCTGGTCCCATTCATCTGCAGGCCACAAGCAGGTGAGGAGTGGGAGCTGGGCCCTAGAGGAAGCCCAGACCCCATGCGGGCATGGACGCCCAGAGGCAGGAAGCCGCAAGGGTCCACTGTAGGGGCAGAGGCAYAGGGCCCCCCTGCTCCCCTGAGAAACAAGGACCTGAACAAGAGGACCCAGACCAGAGCAGCCACACGGTACCCTCCCAAGTCCAGGTGTGTCCACCCTCTGCTCCTGTCCCTGTACAGCTGTGCTCTCATTTTCCCTTTCTTCGTGGAGCCCCAGGGCCAGGTCCTGTGTAGGCCGTGGGGTCAGAGTGGCCAACAGAGGTAGCCGGCTCCTTACTCCCATAGCGTCGTGTTCCAAAAAGGCCAGACAACGGGCAGAATGGCCAGCAATCACGCGCAAGGGCGGAAGCATGGGGATGGGTGGGGCACCCCCACATGAAGTCCAGGAAGGAGTCACCTTGGCAAGGACCCATAGGGTATGTGGGAGRAGCCCAGCCCAGCATCTGCTCCAGCTGCCCAGTGGGGCAGAACTCAGGGAAGGAGAGCCGTCTCCGGTGGGCAAGGTAACCACAGAGCAAGGGCCCAGGTCAGCGAGGGCCGCCATTCCAGCAGGCTCAGCAGGGAGAGGGGACCCGAGGTGGGGACCACACAGCACTTACGAGGTCTGAGCTAAGGGGCTTTGTGTTGGCACTGCGGGCGGAGCTGCTCACCAGGGACCAGACCTTGGTTTTGTGCTTGAAGGCGGCTCTCACCTTGGAGGAGATGGACAGGAGAGGCCAGTTAGGACACTTCAGAGGCTGGAGAAGCAAAGCCAGAGGTGTTATCAATAGTGCCCAGGTGGCTCCCGCAACACCCAAGGCAAGTGAGGACCCAGATAGGCAGGATGGGTTGTTATCAGTGTCGACACCTACGAGCTGGTCATCAACTGGCTGGCTAAAGGTGGCATGGCCAGGCTCCAGCTGGCAGGGCAAGGCTGTCCCGCACACTAGGCCCCTTTAGAAATGAGAGCTCCTGCATGGTGGGGAGGTGGGGCGGTGGGAGGTGGGAGG